ATCCGCCTGCCTCTGCCTCCCAAGTGCTGGGATTAAAGGCGTGCGCCACCACCGCCCGGCTAAGGGAGCAATTTTTTGTGTGCATCCTTACACTTCTAAAAATGCCCCCTTCATACATGAATAAGAGACAAGTATAGAATTCTAGGTTTAAAGGTAGAACTGGGGTGCCTGCCTATGATCCCAGCCCTCAGGAAGCAGAGAAAGGAGAATCCTAAACAACTTAAAGTCTACCTGGTCACAGAGTGATAATCCCATCTCAAAATATAAAACTACACCCCCCCCCAATAATTCTTGACAAAAGTATATACGTTTGTCCTGGGAACATGTGTTTAAAAGATAATTCTTGTTACCCTTAAGGCTTAATCAATTAATTTGTGACTTCTCAAAAATTAATGGATCATAGATGTTTGGGTTTATCTTTAAATTCTCACATTTATTTACTTATTATTTTTAGTTTGTTGAGACAGTGTCTGACTATGTAGTCCTGGCTGCTCTGCAACTTTCATGTAGACCAGGCTAGCCTCAAAGCCCTGGTCAGCCTTCTGGTTCTGCCCTTGAGTGCTGGGATAACAGGCATGTCCCACCATACCTACCTACTCTGAGTTCTCACTGGAAATCCTTTATTTATAAGTGTTCTTCCTTATGCCAGTACCTGTTGCTTTGAATGCTGTACTGTTGTAGTAAGTTTGGGAATAGAATGTGTCAGTCTTCCAGTTTCTTTTCCAGATTGTTGTGGTGTTCTGAGCTCCTTCCATTTCCATATGAAGCCTAGGATTCATTGGTTCATTTCTTTAAGCAGCAACAACAACAAAAACCCAGTACTTCAAATTTCGGTAGAGATAACTTACTTCTCTTTGGTATCTTAACTTTAATCCTCTGACTTTTCTCATGTTTGGGCCTTGGTTTTGTGCTGGTTCATCCTGCTTTGAGAGTCTTTGCCAGCCTTCCTGTGACTGTCAGTGCAGTGACTGTGGTGGGGATGGGAGAGGCTGAATGATGAGGCCGAGTATAGCTGCTGTCTACCGTTCTCTAGTGCAGCTGCCTCCTCATCTGCTAGGATGCCGGGACCACACAGCTGCTGTCTCCATCCAACTGCTCAGTTGTTCCTACCTGGGGAGCACATTCTTACTCATTGCCTCCATTTCTGTCTGGGAGACATAGCTGGGAGGCGTTGATCAGTAATTTAACTTCTGTGCATCACCAGCCAGCTATGTGGTCAGTTTATAGACCGTCTGCTCTTTCTGCTGTCTCCCCTGTGGCCTTAGTTCACTTGTTTAAACCAATAAAGCCACCATTCAGCCACTCCTTTTCTTGGGTCTCTGGGACTGGTCTTGGTCTGTTCCCTAATTTTTTTCTTTCTTCTTTTCATCTCTCATTGATTCCTCATAGTTTCAATCTCTTAGGGCATTTTTAAAATTTTCTTTCTATTGTAGTGTTTTTGTTTTGTTTTGTTTTGTTTTTCAAGACAGGATTTCTCCATGTGGTCCTGGCTATCCTGGAACTCACTCTATGGACCAGGCTGGCCTTGAACTCACTCCTGCCTCTGTCTCCCAAGTGCTAGGGTTAAAGGCATGCGCCACCACATCCAACTTCTATTGTAAATTTATAAAAAGATGACATTATTTATGATTTGGGTAGACAGTGAGTTAGCTGTGTCTTTCTAAGCCTTTATTTTTAGTCAGTGTCTATGGTGAAGTAAATATTATAAAACACATTTAAGCTAGCAGATAAAAATATTGATTTAATCATTGAGGACATTATCTTTGTTTGTGAAGATTCCTTTTAAAATAAACACTAATGGAGATCAGGAGTTTAATTTTCACCATAAACAGCTTAATGTTTGTGTAAACTTTAATGAATAGAGGTGTAGGTCAGGAATTTATATGAAATTTAAAAAGTGCATATTTTCTTAAAATAACAAAAGTGCATGTGCGCGTTACTGTTATGTTGTTACTGTTATGCTACTGTGCACCCTCCACCCTGTCTGCTCTTTGGGTAACTAAGAGCACATGAGTCCTGAAGTTAGCACCCACTTCGACTGAATGACTTCCATGGAGTTAGCATTAGCTTCTCCTGGAACAGAAACAATATGTTGGTTGCTGTGAGAGAAACATGCCAAAGATGTTTAACAGAGGTTCTAATAAAACACAATGGGGTGGGGCCTAGGGTCAAGCCAGGGTCTTGTGCATGCTGGTCAGGTGTGCTCTGTGCTGGGCCACACTCCCAGCCCTCCAAATGTCTTTGGTTACAGCTCTGAGTCACTCATTTTTAGTGTCATTTCAGTATTATTCTAAAGTAGTTTTATATTTCACGTGGCAGCAGGTGTGGTGGAGAACACCTTTAACACAAGTAAGAAAGAGGCAGCGGATCTCTGTGAGTGAGTTTCAGACCAGCCAAGGCTGTAGAGTGAGACCTATTTAAAAAAATCTAAAAAAAATTTTCATATGACTATATTATTTCATATAAATAATATGCCATATAATTTTTGGCTAATGTAGAAGGAGTAATTACCCCAACCTCTGTCATAACAGCTACACTGTTAACAGTTTGGTGTGTTTCTTTCCAATATTTTTTAAGTTATATTTTCAAAAATTAAAGTAATATATTTTTTTCCAGTCTAAAAGTAATGTGTACTCAGTGAGAAAGCTTGGAAAATAAATAGTACAAAGGGGAAAAACCAAAATCACTCATAAATTCCATCCAAAGATAATCATGATTAAATCTGTTGTATATATTTTTTATATTTTTCATGAACATATTCTTTATTTACTAAAATTATATACTATACTACACTTTGTAACTGGATTGTTTACAATATAATGTGAATGTTAATGTTAATAGTCTTATATAAGCTTTTAAGTGGTCTGTACCATATGAGCATATTTAAGTATGTTTAGCTAACATACTTAACCATATCGCTATTGTTGGACATTGAAAGTGTTTCTAATTTTTTTACTGTTATTAATATTGCCATAGTTAATATCTTTGTCCATACATCTTTCCGTGCATCTATGATTGTTTCTTTAGGAATAGTCCTACAAGTGGAATAGCTGGGTCAAAGGGTATGTACACTTTAACGCTTTTGATACATGAAATGTCAAATTTAAGCTAACCACTGTTATATTCTGTCTTGTATTGCTATTCAATTGTTTTGTGTGTCTGTCTTGTCTTTCTAATTGGAACGTACATGAGAGTAAGGGAAGTTGCTTAATATGTTGTTACCCTTTGGCAATATGGCTTCCTGTGTTGGACACATGATCATCAATGTATATCATTGTTGATTCAAAGCGGTGGTTCTCCAGGGTTTTGATGTCATGGTCTGTATATTTAAAAATATGTGTGTGTGTGTGTGTATATATATATATACATATATACATATATGTATATATATATACACACACATTTATATATTAGAGTAAATGTAGGCCTGCAAATTTTCTATTTTTTAGGCAGAGACATTTTAGAAATAAGACCAAATAAAAATTTCTATCATCATCCTCTTAGGAAATAAAGATTATTTAGCAATAAAAAAGGATAGAGCTCTGAAGAGAACATATTAGCTTTTTGTTCATATGTTTATCATTTTATATTGGGCTGGAATTTTCACCTTAACCTAGAAGTGAACTAGAGACCAACGTTTGGTTAACACAGACCTAAAAGATTTTAGAGTATTAAAAGTAAACCCCCTTTGCAAGAATATAATTTCCCTATGTCTCTTTCTCCACAGTATTGTGAAGGTCATGCATTAAAGAGAATTTGTGTTTCTCCATGTCAGTGTTTGAATTATCAAGCTAGACCTGCTGATGAGCACCTGAATATATTTCCAATCACTTAAAACAACACCCATTTTTCTTTCTAGGGGATTGGAGCCAGGGTAGGTGTGATGTAGTGGAAAGACGGGATGTTTAGGCCGGCTCCTCACCCTCCATCAGTCACTTTTCCTTCCGCTTCCTTCCTAACACCGTGACGGTGATCAGATCTGTGAGGGATTTTCTAGCCCTTGTTCCACTTACTTCACTGTGATGTGACTGTTGTTTCTACAAATTCTTTGCTTACCTGACATGAATTCTTCCAGGTAGAATGAGTCATATCCTTCTTTTGCAGCTCTAGGTGCTAACACAGGGATTCAGGCATAGCAGGTGCCTGATGACGCGAGTGCTGAGCCAGTTCTGGATGTTGAGGGAACTGTGTGACATAATGTATGTGGAAGCGCACATAAACTTTGTGTGTTATACAAACAATGGTAAATTTGTTTTTGACAGAAGCTATTTTAATGGGGAGTCTCAAAACTTTGTGAAGAGAGAAAATTGCCCCGTGAACAGTTTTATAAGCGCATTATGTTTTTCTTCTATTTTTGCAAGAAAACAAGTTTTAATTGGGGCTAGTGTGGAGCTAATTTCCTTCCTAGGAAGGCACATGTACTCCTCCTGCCTGTGTTGCATGGAGGTCCCAGATAGCAAATGTTTGTTTGACTTGGTTATCATCTAATTTTAATTTTAATGAGAACAGCGGCTTTCTTAATAAAAGCCAGTATCCATTGCTTCCTAACTAGTAAAGAAAGGTACCAAGTCTTGAGCAGAGGAGCCTGTGTTGTGCCTGATGCTTTTGGGTAGAGCTCCTTTTGGCTTCATTGGCTTTAAAAGACTTCTTTCTAATCGTTTCTAAAACTCCTGGTAAATTTTTGCCACAAGATGGCATTGGTCGTTATTTGAGTGTTCATGCTGTTGAAGCAGCTCTAAGGAGGTGTGCATGATTGTATTGTGTGGGGAATAAGGAGGTGTGCATGATTGTATTGTGTGGGGAATAAGAGTGGACGACTTTCATCGCTGCTTATGTACTGTTGCATTTTAACTCCAGAGTTAAATGATACTTAAGTCACTTTCCTTCTGTATTCAAGTATTGTTTTGTTTCCTGTTTTTCTGTCTTTATAATACAGTAACTATGTATTATTTGCCATGTGTTGTATGTGTCTGACTTACTGCTGATAATTGTGGTGACAGGTAAGAAGAAAATACGATGGGACCCAGTTAGGAGACGCTTCATTCAGTCCTGTCCCATCATAAGGATCCCTAACAGGTTCTTGAGAGGTGGGTGATAACTAGCAAGAGGTCTGTGCTTCCTGTGGGTTAAAGGGAATTTTGAATGGATTTTCTAAATTCAAAACTGTTTTCTTTAAGTTGTCTAGCAGTCAACATTGAAATAAAGGAGTATAGGCTTCAGTTTTAAACTTATATTTTATACTGACCACTGTTGGATTTGTAATGACAAGTTTGGGGAAAGTCAGACTCTCTTAATGTGCCCTCGTTGTTAGAGCAGATTACTTTACGAATACCACTGGTCCATACAGTCTTCAAGTGTAGGATGTGATTCTAAGGAAGAAATAAAAGATGATGTGATAGTCTAAATGAAAAAAAAACCTTTGTATTAAATATTGTAAATAAAAAGCTGTGGAAAGCATTTGTAACAGGTCTTTAATATGAATATAAAGAGATCCTAGAAACAAGTAATCTGTATTTACTAGAAAAATAAGTAAATGTGCATATAAATAGTCAATACATAAAGAAATGCTAGTTGAGGAGCCCCAAATGGCTCAGGGGGTAAAAGAGCTTGCTGCCAAGCCCCACACAGTAGAAAGGAAGAAATTACTCCCATTAGTTGTGCTCTGACTTCCACACACGTGCTGAGGCACAGTGTATATGCACACACACAACACATACAATTTATAAATAAATAATACATAAAATATTAAAAAATATTTGCCAGTAAATATAAACCTCATTTAGTTCACTACTGTGAAATAAACATAATAATTAAAATAATATTTTTACTTATTAGATGGGAAGATTAAAATAAAACTACCCATGTTGGCAAGGGTGTGGGAAAAGAAAGTTTAAATGTTGACCTTTTATGCAGACCTTTTGTATGTAACTGACAAAATGTATCAACTTTAAAGCTGTGGTGCTTTGACTGGGCAGCTCTTCTGTTAGAAAGATCTCATTGTTTCTACTTCCCACTTTCCCATCAGCTCTAGACGGTACTGAGAAATTGCTCAGAAGAGGATTGAAAACTCTAGTTTACTGTTTTTTTTTTTAGCTATAGCAAATTATCAGACAAGCATGCTTGATGTTGTAATTTAAACCTTATTAAATTACTTGCAATTCATTTAATCTCATTTTAATTGAAGATATTCAGTTAAAAACCTAAGCTGGGTGTAGTTGCAGTACACCTTTAAGGCAGACAGATTAGTGAGTTCCAAGCCAGCTTGGTCTACATAGCAAATTCCAGACCAGCCAGGATTACACAGGGAGACCCTTTCTCAAATAATAAACGGCAACAAAAAATTACGTAAGGGAAAATTCTACAGCCGCTATAGACGTTTCTCTATCTAGTGTGTACCATATTTTTAGCAGCCAAACCCTAGAGCATGAAAAAAACTAAAACCAGTACTAAATAGATCAAGATAAGAAGTTCAGTGATAGTCAACCACCGTTCACCATCCCAAAAGAAAAATAATTAGGATATAGAGTTTAATGAAAAACAGTTGTGTGAGGCTGGGGAGATGGCTCAGAGGTCAGAGCACTTGTGCTCCCGCAGAAGATCCGGTCAGTTGCCAGCACCCTCGTGGTGGCCCCCGAGCATACGCACCAATGCAGAGGATCTCATGCTCCCCTTTGACTCTGCCAGCGTCAGGTCCTCGTGTGCTGCACATGCTTGCAGGCAGACACTCAAGCACACTTAAAACATCTTTAAAAATTGTCTAAAATTTTATAAAAATATAAGATGACCAGAAAAGCCCTTGGTTATTTCTGCATGGTAGGTTTTTTGTTTTTTACATAGCCTCCATTAAAAAAAAAATCCTGGGGAAAAACACTGCACAGGTAAGTTTTATACCACTGGATGTTTGTGAGTCCTAAGTTCAAAATGCCTGAGAAAGTTGGTGATAGTTAATTCTGAAAAGAGGGGCAGGCTTAGCATTGGGGTATAAAGAGCACCACAAGCCTCCCTGAAGCAGTGGCCTTGTCTGTCTTCTCCCCTTTGACCAGTTTGAGTGTGTGATGCCATTGGCCACCTGCGTTTTCTCTTCCTTTGGGTCATAATACTAGATGATCCTAGATGTTTTCTTCTTACTCTTTGTCCATTTTGTCCCCTAGTTTCTGATTTCCACCCATGAAAGGTGGGAATTCATTGCTCTGTCCTTTTCCATGATCTCTGAGTGTTCCATCAGCTTTCTTAGGTTTAACTCTCTGTTCATCATTCATCCTTTCATTTGGTATTTCTGGATTGTTTCCTGTGTAGCAGTTACTGTACTTCCTAGACTGATAATGCAGATCTTAGAGAACCAGGTAGACAGACAATTGCAGAGTAATTGGGATGAAATTATTTGTGAGAAGTGTCCTAATAAGGTGGTATGGCATGGGGCACACCAAAGAGGTTTCTTACCAGCAAATGGAGAAGAGGATGACAGAATAGTGTCATTTGATTTTTTTTTTTTTAAGAAAAGTTGCTTAAATCTGAGTGGGATTTTGCAAGGGAAGGGTAGAACCGCAGGCAGCAGGTAGCTTGAATATGGTGTTTATGCAGACTCAGGCATGGTACTCTCAAAGATTTTTTGCATACTGGCAGTAAGGAGCTGGAAAGGGCCAAATAGGAGCACTGTTGAAGGATAATTTTCAGGATCAGACTTGGTTTTGTAGTAAACTGAAAGCATCCACTTACCGTCTTCAGTTCTCCAATACCATTGAAGATGAAAAAAATTGATAGATGATGTTATGTCATAATTGTATTGAAAATAAAAGAAAAAGGAAGTTTGGAGTCAGATATCTGTTTCTGAATCCAGGCTCTGCCATTTGCCAACTGTGTGACCCTGGGCAAATCATTGCTTATTTATTTCTTTATTTGCCTCAGTTTCCTTAATTTGTAAATCTAGAATGGTGATAATAGTACCTTTTTACAGAGAGAAATATTGAGAGAGAATGTTTGCAAAGTTTTTAATTATGTCTAGGAATGTTTAGTTAATGTTAGCTGCTAGTTTTTTAGGAATTTTGAGGAATTTCAGGGTAATTAAAAACAAGCAGATGGTGGGGGGTGGAGTCTAATGGTAGAGCACTTGCCTGCATGAATTCAGTTCTCAAAACTGCAAAACTAATTAAAAACGAGGCATGGAGGCAGAGGCAGGCGGATATCTGTGAGTTCAGGCCAGCTAGGACTGTTACATAGAGGAACCCTATCTCGGGGAAAAAGAAAACTAGGTATGGTATCACACACTGGTATCTTAGAATGTGGAAGGTAAAGGCAGGAGGATCTGGAGTTCAGGTCAACATCAGCTATGTAGTAAGTTCCAGAATAGCCTGGGCTACATGAGGCTGCCTTAAAAAATGGAATTATATCGAATGAGAAACCAACACTGAATATAATGTAGTCCAAAACCAAGCGTTCTTGATATATGGTAGATATCAGAGACTAATTTTATTTATTTTAATTTGGGGGGGCAAGGTCTCACTATGTAATTTCACTTGTAATTTACTGTCTAGACCAGCCTGGCCTTGAACTCACAGAGATCTGCCTGCCTCTGCCTCTTGAGTACTAGGATTAAAGATGTGCACCCCCATCACTGGCTCATGGCCATTTCAACATTTCGTGTTTTTTTCAAGACACAATTTATCTATCTACCTACCTACCTACCTACCTACCTTCTATCTAATCCCTTGCTGCCTGGAACTCACTTTACAGACCAGGCTAGCTCTGAATTCATAGATCATCTGTCTCTGCCTTCTGGGTGCTGTAATTAAAGGCATGAGCCACTATGCCTGGTTTGTCTTTTTTTTTTTTTTAACTAGTGTTTATTTTTTATATTTAAGACAGGGTTCTTACTAAGTGGCCCTGGCTTGACTGAGACTTGATGGCATCAACTCACAAAGATTGCTAGATTAAAAATGTGTACAATTATACCTGGTCTTGAGGAAACCCTGTGGAACATTAGGAAACTCTCATCATGAGCGGTACCCTCACAGAGTGATAGCGAATTGTTTGCTCAGCAAGACTCAAGACTGACCCTGAGTTTCTAACCTGCATCATGACTGCCAAAGATGACTGCATTTAGTGTTCTCAGGGGAAATTATTTTGTAGATAGATTCTGTTTGGGGGGAGGTCAAAATAAATAAGAGATGCGAAAATTTATGCCATATACTCATGTTGGGAAAATTAGTTTTAGAGATAGATAATTCTGGTAATGTGAAAAATCCCAAACGAGGAAGATTTGAATATATGTAGTAGTGTTGTGGAAACGCCAGTGAAACTTGTCCATGAAGCTAAGTATAATTGCAAAGATTTCTAATAATATAGAGGATTTGTGTAAATATGTGAGTATACATATGTATTACATTCTATAACATTAAGCAAGTTGGAAGTAGCATTAAAGATCTCACAATTTTTTTTTGTTTTGTTTTAAAATGTACATGTCAGGCTGGGTGGTGGCAGCACATGGTAATCCCAGCATTTGGAAGGCAAAGGCAGGCAGATCTATGTGAGTTCAAGGACAGCGTGGTCTACAGAGTGAGTTCCAGGACAGCCAAAGCTACACAGAGAAACCTGTCTCCAAAAACCAAAAGAAAAAAAAAAAGGAAGAAAGAAAAGAAAAAAAACAAAACAAAACAAACTATAAGTCTTATTGAGGGGACTAAGAAGATGGCTTAATGAATAAAGTGCTTGCTGTACATGCCTGAGGACCAGTTTGGATCTGTCACAATCCATGTAAGTGCCAGGGGCATAGCAGCCTGCCTATAATTCTAGTCCTGGGAAGGCTGAGACATGGGGGCCCAGCAGCAAGCTGACTAGTTAGTCTAAGCTATATCAAAGTTAAATTGAGAGACCTTTCCTCAGTCAACAAGATGACTCCCAGATCAGCCCTGGGCCTCCATGCACACGTGCCTGTGCTCATACACACATGTACACATGCACAAATGCATACTCACCACACATATATACCCAAGCAAAAACAAATCTTACTAAAATATGAAGTTTTAATAATATTGAAATATATAGGTGAAAACTGAGCATCTTTACTACAAACTTATACAATGAATTTGTA